TATGCATTATTTTAGTATGATGCCTTCCTTTAACAACGTGTAAGTTTGAAGTCAATGTACTAGTGAAACAAAATAAAATTGGTAGACTTAGAATAACTCTTTTTTCTGTTGGTATGCATATAACAGTTTCTTTTCTTTAAAAATCAGATCTGCTCGACCTGCATCATTTGATACAGGCTGGGGCTTAAATGAAAGTAAACTACCTGTTATATTTGTCGTAATTTACTGAATTCATATTTCTTTTCTCATTCTGTGCATCAAAATTCATATAAAAAAGATGTTTGTTAAATGTCATGTTCTGTACTTTTCTAGAACTAATTAAAGTATTAAAAGATACTCTATGGCATGTCAAACGTTGCAATATTCGATCTTTTAAATTTATTGTATATTTTCCCATTTGCATTGTATAATTTTAGTTTAAATTCTATAATTTTCCATTTGCTTTATATAATTTTCAATTGAAATTTTGTAATTTTTCATTTGAATTGTATAATTTTAAATATTTCTATTTGTATTCTATAATTTTCCATTAACTTTGCATTGTATAATTTTCCAATTGAATTGTATGTAAAAAATTTCCATTTGCATTTTATTGTATGTAAAAAATTTCCATTTGCATTTTATAATTTTCCATTTCTATTGTGTTTTTTTTTAAATTTGTATTGTACAATTATCCATTTGTATTGTATAATTATTCTTTCATTTGTATTCTATAATTTTTCATTTGTATTGTGTTTTTTTTTCTATCTGGAAAATTAATCAATGCAAATAGAAAATTATATAATACAAATGCAAAATTATATAATACAAATGAAATATCACAGAATACAAACGGAAATAAAGTTATACACTATAAATGAAAAAAAAAATAGAATTTAAATGGAGAATTATAGAATACAAAGGAAAAAAATTATAGAATACAAATAAGATTATACAAAATTATAGAATATAAATAAGATTATACAAGTGGAAAGTTATACAATACAAATAAAGAAAATTTATACAATACATATGGAAAAGATCGATACTCAAAATTTGGCTTTTTTTTTTATATTTGTTAAATTAACAACAATTGCATACCAGTGATGACTACATAAAATGAAACGTTGACATATTCTCTTGTCTGCGAAGATTCCTAGTTTTCCCCATTATTAAGTGTTCGTAAGTTGCCTTTTAATTCGAAATTGTTGATATTATCAAAAATAATGATAATTGATGATAATAACATTAATAATAAATTATTCAATATAATTGACTTTATACAGGGTTCATTTATAAAGATTAACACATGCTGACAACGAAAAATCGGAAGTAACAATGGCTATTTCCATTCTTATGTCGATACGATATATCCTTGTGAACTTGAGATAAAAGATACCACAGAGTCTGACACATCTGTTTCATATTTGGATATTTTACTTGAAAAAGACGTTAATGGTAATCTAACAACCAAGCTTTATGATAAACGTGATGACTTTAACTTTTCAATCGTTATCTTCCCTTACTTATGCAGCAATATACCTTCATCACCTGCATACGGGGTATATATCTCTCAGTTGATTCGATACGCAAGAGCATGCTCTACGTATGTACAATTTCTAAAACGATGTAAATTATTGACAAATAAGTTGATGAAACAAGAATATCAGCTGTCTCGTTTAAAGTCATCGTTTCGTAAGTTCTATGGTCGATACAATGACCTTGTCAGCAAGTACAATTTATCATTGAATCAAATGCTGACTGACGTTTTTCACACTAATTGTTAGGCCATTATTTACACACCGAATTGTCGACGGATTTTTCCGTTATTTCCCGATCATGACAAGGAGCACACGGCGGGTGTGACCGGTCGGCAGGGGATGCTCACTCCTCCATGGCACCTGATCCCACCTCTGATGTTTGGAGGTCCGTATTTGCTCTGTTCCTATTTTGTATTGATTAATGGACTTTTGAGCTTGAATACTGTTCGTTATCTCCATATATTTCATGCATGGGTTGGTATATATGTATACGGAACGATACTTTAACATACTCAGAATTTTGATTGTAAATGATATATACATACATTTATATACGTGTACATGTTTAAAATTCTCTAAAGTATTCAGAAATTGTAAACATTCTATGCTGTTCTTTGGAATAACCCTTATAAATATATGCATTGATTTGGAACACAATTGAACAACTTCGAATGATGTATCTTACCTTTTTTATTTAACATAATTATATAAACATAGATTTATTTGTTATTGTCATACGTAATTTTTAAAGAAAGAGTTTGTATCATCTTTCCTTAATAAATACATGTTTTTGTGAATAATTATGTCAATTGCTGTATAAATGTTATTTTCGCTCCGTGTTATTTTCGCCCCATCACTCTTGTGAACGATTTTATCCCATTTAAAATTCCCCAATATACAGTTGTGTTTAAGGATAACCTGTCTTTTTTAAATTCGCCCCAGTTATAATGTAGGCGAAAATAAAAAGCGGAGATAATCATTTCCTCGTATACAGTTTTGATCGTTATCTTCGTTTACCAGTATCTGATTTTTGTATACATTTATTTGTCATGGTTTAAAGGAGAATATTTGTGACCGAGATGATGCGCTTTATCAAGCAATATTATTCATTTGTAGCAGACAATTGTATGTATCGAATGCAATATTGTACTTTATGGCATACTTTAGGATTTTGTATTCATTTAATTGACAAATGGAAGAAAAATAATACTTTTAACACTCAATCCATTTTCCACCATTAGAAATATCCAGCTTACCCTAAGCTAGATTCAATTCAAAATTTAACTAGTCGCCCGCGGTTAGAGCGTCTGCTCTAGAGTCGCGGAGTAAGGAGTTGATCCTTACGTCGCGGGTTCGAATCCCACTGCGGGACGTGGAGACCGGTCCTTCGGATGAGACCGTATAAACCGAGGTCCCGTGTCGCAGTAGGTGCTGGCACGAAAAAGATCCCTCACTGCTCAATGGCCATAAGTGCCGAGTATAGCTCTCCACCGGCAAGTGGTGGCGTCTCCATATGAGTGAAAAATTCTCGAGAGGGACGTTAAACAACATACAAACAAACAAAATTTAACTATTTCTCCTCATCAATGAAAAAGTTGAAGATAACGAACAGTGACCGATCTCAAAAAATCTATAAACAATACAGATCTGTAAAGAGGGCATAAAACACGGAACCTTGGAATTCCAGAGGTGGGATCAGGTACCTATGAAGGAGAAAGCATCATCTGTTGACCGGTTACACCCGCCTATGTATTGATCAGGTTGACGGAACATTCCGTAGTCAAATTCAGTATTAAAAAAAACAAAGGCCTAACATTTGGTATGAAACAAGTCAGCCAAATAACGACCCTACGATATGTTATATTTGCTAATAATGTCATTATAACGATCAAAGAACTTACATTGTATCAAAGGAAACGTTCCTTAAGGAAGCTCTAAACACTAACAAAAAGTCTTTTTTTGGACTTGGAGAAAAATATGTCTTATAAAGGTAAGCATATTGAGACTATTTAGTTCATTTTCAACATAAGGTACCTAGCTACCTTACTTCGGCAGGAAAAATGTTCAAAGACGAGGACTATTCACAAACAGAAATCACTGTTGTTTACCTACACTGGGAAAATTAATGGGAATAATGAATTTAATTACTTATTCTTAGTCTAATACATGTATAATGCTTAGAATATTTTAATCTATTACAAATCGTGTAATTGACTGTAAATAACTTAGTTTTTTTTTTTTATCTTACTTCTAAGGGTAGATCACTCTAACTGCATAAAACTACTCTGCAAGTAGAACTCTTTTGTGTGCAGTGTTTAGAGCTTCCTTAAATTTATTTGAAATGATTTTCAAACTAACTTTTAAGATGCTGTAAATTTTGCATTTACTAGGTGGAGGTAAATTTAAAGTTTGTAACAAGATGATATCTTGAGGACAAATAGAAAAACAAAAAAATGTGAGAAAAAAAATTATATTGTTTTAGGTAGCGTTGGTGATAAAAATCTAGTGAAATCATTACAAGTGTATGTATGTGCAAATCCTTTAACTGTTCTTAAAATAACTATTTGAATAACTATTTGAACATATATTAAACTTGAGTTTCTTAAGAAAAGTACAATACATTTAATAACGCTCTGTACAAGCACCTGGGCATTTGACCTTGACTTCCTCTTCTGACCTATCGTTTCACCTCAAACTGAGCACGTGCATTTTTGCTGTCTACATGATCAAGTGGTTTGTAAATAAATTTAAATATAGTTTTATCTCGTTTTTCAACATATCATCGAGTAGATATATTCTGATCTTGTGTTATTTTTTTTCCTTGTCGTAATCGATAGGAACATATTTTCAGTACAGACAGGAAACAGGTAAATTTAACAAGGAAATTAACTGTAATTAATTTCTTAATTATGGTCATTTAACTAAGCGAGTATTTTAATAATTTTTAATTTCCTGAAATATTTCTCTCAAAAAAGAACACATTTTTTTTCTCAAGGAAGAAAAACGAATATTATATATAATTGTATATCAATATTTTAAGCGTATACTCTAGGAAACACCCCTACTTCATTTCCTTCTTTAAAATGATACCAATATATTATCTGATTTAATCTTCCTTACACAGACATAATACTTCTATACATTTGAAAATTTAAGTATTTCTTTTTAAATAGACATGAATTGTGTTTGTTCACGCCGAAAAAAAAATACATCGGATTTCTTTCGCAGGCAATTTAAATATAGTTGGATTACAGAGTGTCAAGGAATGTAAAGTGATGAGTTTTGGCGCATTATTTAGTTGATGTACATGTATCTAGAGTCGCGGTGTAAGGAGTTATCCTTACGTCGCGGGTTCGAATCCCACTGTGGGACGTGGAGACCGGTCCTTCGGATGAGACCGTATAAACCGAGGTCCCGTGTCGCAGTAGGTGCTGGCACGAAAAAGATCCCTCACTGCTCAATGGCCCTAAGTGCCGAGTATAGGTCAAAATTTGCAGCTCTCCACCGGCAAGTGGTGGTGTCTCCATCTGAGTGAAACATTTTCGAGAGGGACGTTTAACAACAAACAAGCAAACAGTATGTATATCTGATACAGTCGCATAGGCCGTGAAGTTTTTTTTTTTTAAATTAAAGTATTTTTTATTAAAGCTTAAATGCTGATTTTCTTTAAACCTGCTTTGTTTAGTCTAGGTATTTCTTGTTCCATTATTTGATGTAATTAGATCAATGATTCCGGATAGAATTGCTGGTACAGAAAGTATTCAATCTATTTTAAATACATACACACTTAGGTTTTTGATCCGCTCGCATCCGTTCACAAAGATCTAACGCTTTAAAAGGGGTGGAGGTGTCACGTACGAATGAAGTTCAATGAACTAGTATTATGGAATGATAGATCACGATTTGTACTATTTACGGATATCCTTGACGGGAAAATTGGGAACAGAAACTCCCGACGTTACCAAAATGAAGCAACCTTGTTGAATTCAAATTTTAAGATAGGAAAATGCTCGTTTGTTATTCTTTTTCATTATAATGTAAAACAGTTTTTGAAACGTTGTTCATTTGCAAACAATGAAGGATACATGTATGATGTTTTCGTGAAAGTTTGACCCACTACTGAAGACGACTTGATTTTGTGTTGAAAAAAGGGATAGCTGAGGGCAGGAGGTCAGTTGTGGTTAGATCCCTTGTGTGGCGAGTACACTGTATGTGAGCGGATCAAAGATCTTTTTTCAAAATTATAATAAGACTGAGGAAGAGAAAACATTTAAATTATATGTAATTATATGTTTCCGATTATATGGTACTCTTAATATGCGTTTGAAATAAGAGGTTTTTCACTGAGGGTAGTCTGAGCTAAGAATATTTCCAATATCAAATTTAAGTTTGGATTTTGTTATACACCTCAATTAATTCTTCTAAAAATCCATTTGTTTTCCAAGAGATTACGAAGGGGACTAAAAACTAATGTAATTTTTTGTTAATAACTTAAGTTTAGAAAATCACAAGCACGGCTTATTAGAGTTGACACAGCTGTAGATTTAGTTTCACAAAACTCTTGATCGTATCAAATGTTCTCTCCAGGAACCATATCTTTCCTTGCCAACATTGCAAAATATTTCACTCAGTTCATTATAAAATTCAATTAAGAAATATAATTTCATTTTCATTTTTTAAAAGTCGCATTTGTATACATGTAAAGGCTTCTGTGGAGACAGCTTATGTCAAATCAACCAATTCTCTTTTTTCTATCTGTTGTTGATATAGAGACTATGTACACAGTGCAATTAGAAATATTTCCTTGATATTCTAAATGAGATATAATGGGAATTGAGTAAAAACCATAAATACATTTTTGGTGACTTTCTTTTCCATAATCACATGATAAGGAAGTTAATAGTCACCCCTGGTGTATCATGTAGTTTGATAACGTACTGGAAGAACATTGTAAAAGCCTTTGTAATATTGGTGATATTCCGAAGCATTTAAGTTGAACATAATTTAAGCCAAGATGCTTTGTCATCATCTAACTGTCAAGCATTTATCATCTTAAGGTAAAGTATTCAATTTCTGCAATAATCTTTTTTTCATTTTACAAATTTGCTTGCTTAACTATGTGACTGAAAAAGTATAATTATCCGCCAAATTCCACCATTCATAAGAGCTAGGTTCTATGTTATTCTTTTGTAGAAAAAATGGAGGTACATGTACGTTCGTGGTTTTCATCTGTATTAAGATCAATCTTAATTCCGTTTTCAAGCGGTAAATCAGAAAGTGATGAAAATGAAAATGATGTGGACGAAGAGATATCACCTACTCTGACCTTTGCACATTTGGTGTCTTGTTTATGTGTGGTTCTTGGTATTTATTCCGGGAAGCAGACGACTAATGATACTGCGCGATTTGTCGTCTGGGGATTGGTTATGGGACTTGTCAGCTGCGGAGTATTAGCATTATTTGTCTTGATATTCTCCAACTCTTTTATACACAACGAGACCAACATACTTATACCTAAAGATTATTCTCTGAACTTGAGGATTATATTTCTGTGGATTTTTGGGTTGTCTGTCATTTTGCACAGCGCCGTAAACTTAGCTATCACTATAGAATGTTTTTACTTAACGTCTCAAGATGCTATCATGTACATAGGAATAATAAGCACACTTATGTTTATATTTTTCATAATCTTGCAAATTGGAACAATAACGTATTTCAGAAATTATCATTTTAAAAAATCAACCCAAGTCAATTTTGCCATTGTTTTTTTGTCACTAGCAAATTTTGCAGTATGGTTTAATTCTGTTGTGAGCAGTTTGAATGGTACGTATTCAACAAACCCAAACGCCACAGTCAACATGAGTACTTTCCAAAAAGAGACAGAATGCTTTTTCAGTTCTAAAATTCAAACAGAGTTGGCTCAAAAGCTTCTTCCTTTCCTTTTGCCAGCTCGAATGGAATTTTTTATTCTGGCATCAAGTTTTATCCTTTCCTTCTGGCATTCTTCATCAGAACAACAGCAGTGTGAAATTCATTTTGATCTAGAAGAGACTGGAACAGAGGAATCTCAGGAAATATTACCGCTTTTGCCTCGCAGTTCTCAAAATCGGGCTAGTAATGTTGTTGTCATTATGATTTCCGTCATCCTGAATCTGCCCACGTTTCTGACTTGGCTTCTCCTGTCTTTCGTGTACACAGACAACAATGAAGGATTAAGCAATTCTTACGAAATATGCAATTGTATCAACTCCATTGCAACAATTATAATTGTTTACATTGCATTTGACCATTTGTCGAAAACATATTCCATGAGTAAATATCAGCGTCCTCTTACAACAAGTGAAACGATTCTTGTGTTCAGCTCTGCTGGTGTAGTGGCATATAGTACTTATGGCCTGCTGTTTGGCTTACAAGGAAACGTCGAAGAACATTTGGCCATTCTTTTTAGAAACTTTATTGAGATAATAGAGACCTTTTTACAAACATCTCTATTGATACAGTGTCAACGATACATACTATCTGAGCGAAAATCCCCACTTCTTTCGTCCTTTGCATTAATTTTGACGATAACAAACTTAATAAATTGGTTTCTCTATTCCATCTATCAAAATGTACCAACGGAAGGGCGAGAGAAAATTGTTGGTAATAGGCGGAATTGGGCATATGTTCAAACGATTCTTGTCCCATTGCTAATTTTTTATAGATTTACGTCTGCTTTGAATTCATATTCACTATATCAGTTGATAAAACCATAATTCAATTACAATATCAACAGGATTGACATGTTTTAGATACACGTTTGCATGTAATATATACCTTTTAAATATGCTTAGTATCGAAAGTGTATTATTAATGTATTTTTTCAGTAAATTGATGAAGCTACTGTATTTTGAATTTATACATGTATTAAATAGAATGTTTTTAATATGCACCTAAAATATGCATTTCAATAGATATACCAGTACCAAATTTAGACGACTGATTGCTATTAAATATCAAACATTTTTTAAGATGAAGTACGTTTAAACTGTGTACAATGCAAAAAAGTAAGCATATGGATGAAAGGCCATTTTAGGGGAATTATCAAGTGATGAAAAAACCAACCAAACAAACAAAACTCACATATTTTGTAACTACCGAATTATTTATCTTTTATGAATCCGTGTTAATATACAAGAATTAGACAAAATACACAAAAATATCTTGAAAATCAGGTTAAGAAAGATTTTATTTGTTTTGAATAAAACAAACTAGCTTTGAAAACCTGGAATTAAGATAAGTTTTTTTATGATGACAAATGTTCAGATTATTCTTCTTATAAGTGTACATCCATAGTGCAGATACAGCAAAGGGAAGATACTCGTATAGTACAAGAAGAATCAAGAAAGGGCCTTTTTTTTGTTATATGTGGTCAAAGTATTCAGGACATTTTACATGAATTATTCTTTATGACAGGTATGGTTCATCGTCCTCCGTAGAAATGAAATAAGGAAAATACTCGTAGTCCGTTAATGTGGAAATTCAATGAAGAGGAAATATTTGGAATTGAAGTTGTTTTTAGAAAAGGAATATTTTTTTAAACACATGAAAATATTTTATACGGAAGCAAGCAAGATAAAAAGATATTTTTCCTTTATGAATATACTGCGGTATAATAATGTTTTAGAAAAAAAGAAGAGATTTTCTATAAAGTTTTCCATAAGAGTCCATAGTTACAAACTCTACTGCATTGATATTCATTTTTAATTGAAAGATTATATAAGAGTAAATCGTTTACATGTGTACTCGCTTATGTGATTTACGTGTATTTGTAAAGAAATCAGAAAAAAAATTTATGGGATACAAATGAACACTAGGTCGACCTGATAAATGCTTAATTTTCCCATTTTGACAAGCCAATGTAAAGATATTTAGCATCCTGATGTCAGTAATTATTACATGTAAATGTGGAATAATTAAAGTAGTACATGTATAAATTAAAAGAACTGAAATGGTTTTAGGCACTCATGAAAAAAAAAAATGTTTTTTTTTTTTATATTTTGAACTTCTGGCATTCATTTTTCATTTTAATATAGAAAAATATGCAATACTTCTAGATATTTCATGAACATGAACATGTGGCCAATGAGAGAAAAATCGTCTGATCTTTGCTAAAGAAAAAGGTGAAGATAACGAAGAGTCATCGATCTCAAGAAAGCCTACAAACAATACAAATCTGTGTAGAGGGCACAAAATAATGACTCCCGGTAATGCCAGATCTGGTCCTTAGAAGGAGTAAGCGTCCTCTGTCGACCGTCACACCCGCCGTGAGCCCTTTGTATTGATCAGGTAGACGAAGTAATCCGTGCTTAAATTTAGTGTAAAAAAGCTAATTCAGAGAATGTGTCCCCCGCTTAAGGAAAAAAGATTGTGTGTGTGTTGTTTTACGTCCTGTTCGAGAATTTTTCACTCATATAGAGACGTCACCATATACCGGTAAAGGGCTTCAAATTTTGACCTTTACTCGGCACTCAAGGCCATTGAGCAGTCAGGGTTCTTTATCGTGACAACGCCTACCGTGACACGGGGCCTCGGTTTTTAATAGCCATTCTCTGTAACCACTTAAACTTTTGTGGCACGCATAGTCACAGATCTTTTTCAAATTTGGCTAGAATTTACCACCTCATAAACTACTCCAAAAAATATTGTTAGATCATATGAATGTTGAGTAGTTACCATGGAAACGGTGTCTAAAGTTGATTTTTTCTGAAAAAATGCAATTTTTGGGAATGGCAATCAATGAAATGCGGCTACTTCAATCCATGTTACTCACAGAAATAAAAAGTATGACATCTGATTTTAAAAGGTATTTAAAAACATTGTTGGTATTCAGTCTATAAATTTAAGAAATCTATGATTAAAATAGCAGACATTCATTTAAAAATTGAATTATCTCCCTTTGATAATTGTGAGCTCTTTAGTGCGAGAGATAAAAAAAATCATTGGACAAAACTGACTGGAAGTTGTTTACATTATCAACATGTATCCTGGATTTCAAGTAAAATCAACTGGTTTTTTCTATTTATTTAATATGCATACAAATTTTAACCGCTTTGTTTATTTCCTGCATGCAAAAGAATAATTTTGATGAGTGAACAGTGGCGAAATGTAAAAGACCACATGGTACAGGAAATCAGCTCTGTGCACATTCATGATATTGAAACCTAAGCCTCAAGGTCTTAGGAGTTTCAAAATGGGGATAAAAGATAAACTTGAGATATCAGAATTATATTGAATTGGTTGTAAGAAGAGGTACAATGTCCTAGTCAGAGTGATATACATGTATTATAATGAATACAGCCTTGGAAAGTCAGTGCCTTTTTAAAACAAATGTGAAAAAAAAACTGAATTATAATGTGAGAGAACTAGGCTATTGATTTTACCTAAATAATTAAAGTCAAGCTACATTTACATGTTTGTACAGAACTGGAAGTTGAAGTTGAATATTGAATGATGTATGTAAGTTGATGTCTGTCATTAAAGGGATGACCATTTGATGCGGGGGGGGGGGGGGGGGGGGTTACAGATTTTAGAAACTAAAGTCCGTTCTTGAAAATGTTGGAAATAAATAATCTGTCCTCAACTGGCAGGAAAATAAATAATCCATCTTTGATAAGTGCCTCAACCTCCAACCCAAAGGCACTTGTTTCGGTAATAATTTTTAACCCATATTATAATAAGTATTATTATTATAAAAAATAATAAAAAAAAATTATTCCCGAAACAAATGCCTACCCCCCCCCCCCCCATTCCCTTGGGGCGGGGTCGATTGTTTATTTTATTTTCAGACTTTTTTCAGTGAAGCAAAAAAATGCATAATCTGTCCTGGATCATATTGGAAATAAATAATCTGTCCTTCAATTCCATGAAAATAAATGATCTGACTCGGAAAAAATTTGCCCATCCCCCCCCCCCCCTTCTGAATCAAACGGTCGTCCCTTAACCCATAGTCAACGCAGTCATATTATGCAGTTTTAAACAGAATTTATGTCATTCATAATTTACAATTTTTATATGATGAGTGTTTTCACTTGATAGGATTTGCTACATTTGAAATATAAACTGATACTCTTTAGAACCCTCATTCTAAAATTAAAGATCGTAAAAGTATATTTTATCACTATTTAAAGGCTACATGTAGAAAAAAAATCCACACCTAAAAACCCTGTATTTGTGAGGGATGTAACAGAAAACTCAATCTTTTTAATACTACTGTTTGCCTTTATCTGTATCTGATTCAGAAAAAAAGAGAGAAAAGTTATCTGTGTATATTTCAGATTTGAACTTTTTATTCAATGACTGAAAATATTTACAAAGAAATTGATAATGTTCCTGATCCAAGTATTTTCTTTAAGGGAATTAATGGTCTTTATCCAAAAAAAAAGAATAAAAAAAATTGTTAAGGTCAGTAATGAAAAAGTTTTGTTTTGTAATTGATTCCTTTCGACCAGTGAAAATTATACTTTCAATTTTTTTGTAAGGGGGGGGGGGGGGGGTGTTTGCATAGAAATACAAATTGTCTGAATCATATTTAAAGTTATCACTTTTATCAAGTTTATCATTTCTCTAGACTAAGATAAATGTAGATTGAACCTTGTAGCAGTAAAATTAATAGTAAATCTGTGTAGCTGTATTTTATTAATAATGAAAACATAAATAAATTTCTGACAAGCCCCCCACCCCCACCCCACCCCTTTCTAACAAAAGAAAAAAATCATAAAATTAAACACAAAAAATCTATACTCGGGAATGGGGGCGGGTTGGGGTTAATCACCTATGAATGAACCGCTTTCTTTCATATTTATATATAACGTTTCTTAATGTTTCACAACGGATCCGTGTTTTTCTTACAAATGCCTCTTACCCATTTATTTGGGGTAAGTGCTTTTACATTGTTCCTGGAAGGGATGGAGTAAGTCCTGGTCATTGGTTACTTTATCATGTTCATTTTAAAAAATGAAAACCGTAAGAAGGAGGCAGGGACAGATTATTTTCAATATTTTCAAGGACTCAAGTTTAGAAATTATGTTTACAATACAAACCATAAGGTGTACGATTCTATCAAGCTTACCAACCAACTCAAACTTAGCAACCGACATAAATTCGAGAAAACACAAAATCAGATTATCTGAGCAGGTCCAGCAGATTTTTACAAAAGATTATTATTGATTAAATATTGGAAGTAGCAGATCTATTACTTAAATCCAGGCATATTTGGGTTAAAATATTTATCATCTCAGTGTCTCTTAATTTTCAAGTTTTTAAGAATAATACATGATAGATTTTTACTGTATTGCAAAGTAAAATGGATTTGGGCTTTTTCTGTCAACTTCTCTGAAAAAAAAGTCACAGGAAAACACATTCTGACTGTCACTGGAAAAGTGTGGAGTGTTGAATAGGGTCTAAAAATGTACATTTTAGAACAAGGACTTAGTCTACCAAAACAACAAAAGAGTGTATTTACATGCACGTAGCACAATGCTCTACGTACAAGTCACTCAATATGGTACATGTATAGGTTTTCAATATTTTGAGTTGGCTACTTTTTTTTCAATAAATGAAACCATTCTCATAGCTTTTTAACATTATGCATCAAGCTAAAGGTGAGAATGTAATACTAATTTCAGTAAAATGCATTGTATATAAAACAGGATACGACATCCACAATATCCGAGTTTAAATGCTATACTAACAAGCTAATTCAGAGAAGCTGTGTCCCCTGCTTAAGGAAAAAAAGAGCATGTACGGATCTTGAGGGGTGGGGTCGGAGGATGGTGGGGTTGGGGGAACGGGATACT